GGTCATATGTTTCTGAATTATAGCCCTTAGTGGTGGTAACCTAGGGTGATAGGTTGTGACCAGTGGCACTCTGGTCGACCGTTGACGTGGTTTGTACGTCAGTGTTTGAGCACGAGGTATGTCCTTTGCTTTTTTTTAATAGCATTTTCAATGGGTCCTCGATGGTAATTTCTATTCCGGAGATGTCCGGATAGTTCTTCTGTTCGATTCTGAAAATCTAAATCCGAAGAACAAATGCGTCTCATGCGCAATGTGCTTGGCTGTACGGAATGTTTTTTGTACAGTGCGGGGGATGACAGCTGCTAGGGAGCAGGTACATATGCTTATCCGTGGGTTTACGGAAGAGATCAGTTTTAAGTGCACCATTTTCCATGGTCACGGTGATGTCCAAAAAATCTACACTGCTTGTGGATTTGTTAGCAGTGAATATGATTGTGGGATGAGCCGAATTAATGTTCAATAGGAACGTATCCAAACTATCTTCACCATGGGTCCAGATCATGAAGATATCATCAATGTAACGAAACCAAACCTCTGGTTTCTTGGGCTGTAGGGACAGGAAATTGGCCTCAAAATGTCCCATAAATAAGTTAGCAAAAGATGGAGCCATTTTGGTGCCCATCGCTGTGCCATGAATTTGAAGGTAATGACCGTCGCCGAAAACAAAGTTATTATTGGTCAGAATCAGCACTGTCTCTTATACGGAGATGTGATTTAGATGGGGTTTTGCCCCGAATTTGCTTGTAATTTGAAATGCACGCATTAACACCTTCTTCATGAGGGATATTAGTATATAATGACGAAACATCAAGTGTAGCCAGAACAGTATAATTAGGTAAATTTGAAATTTGGTTAATTTTGCGGATAAAGTCCGTGGAGTCCTGAATGTACGAGGGGAGAGCAACAACATATGGTCTCAATAAGTCATCCACATATTCAGAGATTTTTTCTGTAGCAGTACCGTTGCCCGAAATAATGGGTCTGCCAGGATGGCCTGCTTTGTGGATTTTGGGTAGGACATAGAATCGTCCTGGTGCCGGATCGAGCTGGATGAGATGGGGTCCAATTTTGGGATCGATGGAACCTTTTTTAACCATCTTTAATACAGATTTTTCCACTTCCTTAGAAATTTCCGGAGTGGGGTCCTCTGTGAGCTTCCGATAGTGAAGAGGATTGTTTAGTTGTCTTAAGGACTCCTCTTCATAAAATTTAGTGTCCATTACGACAGTGGCAGAGCCTTTATCAGCTGGTTTGATGATAATATCATCACGCTGACGCAAATTGGCGATGGCCTGCCTCTCATTTTTTGTGAGATTGTCGCGGAAATCTGGACTAGGAGTGTGGTTTTTAACGTCCTCCTCAATGGCCTGAATATATATATATATATCAAACAGTCCACAGGTAATATTCCCATGCAGATTAAATTAAATCGCAGTCAATTACTTCGAAAGGAAGAGGTCTCACAATTAGGTGCACAGGGTATTTAATCGGCAAAGACAGTAGAACAAGGAATGCGCAAACTAATTTTATTGTTCACTAAGGGTTATTTTTCCAAGAAATAAGAGTTGGATCTACTTCACTGATATTTTTACTATTTGGCAATACCAAAATATACTTGTGGGATTGGGGACAACGTATCAAGTTGATAGAACAAAGACAAGGTTGTTTCTTTATCTTTGCTAATGGTTAGAGTTTAACATGATCAATATATCAATCATAAATAATGACAGCATCAAAGACACAAATTAACGATTACAAACCAGATAAACAGTCCAGCTTTGTTAAAAATTCGACAGATTTTATGATGTTCAATATTTGTTCAATGTTCAATGAACAAAGCAAAACCAATTAATATGACATCGAAAGAAATTTGGCAATAAACCATGTGCCTGTTATAGATATTAACTTTTGGCAAAATCAAGTGATCTATGGCACATGGGCACATCCATTTGGAGAATGCAGTTTAAAAAGTTGGTTATTTTTTAGGGAACAGATACCAAGGTCAACACTTTCAATTGTCGGAAGATGTTAAACATTATCAGGATGCATCAATGACAGACACATTGATGCTACTGTATTTTATAGACTGCCTTAGACACAAGACTAATAAATGCTTACTTGCCATACCCTATATCAATGTTGGTTATTGCAAATGAAAAAAAAGGAAAATTGCAAGTACTATGGTTACCTTGATGTGTCTTTTTGACAAGTCTGTAAATGACACTTCAATTAAAATATTATCTCAGTCAAGAAAGAATTGTTGATGGGAGAAATATTAATGGGTCTTGCCAACAACATATTTTACTCTTCCAGCACCCAAAGCAGTCATAGTGGTGGCTAAATTTGAGTACCAGAAAAAATTGCGCAAGAACTATAATTTTCTGCCCAATTTTATGGTGTAGAGGTCTGTTCAAGCACTTTAAAAGTGCTTGAACAGACGTCTACACCATAATAACTGAATTTGCTTTAAAAACTAGTAGTATACAATGAGGCTAATTTGAAGGGCATAAGTGGTATGTATGCCTACCAATTTAATCATTAATGATGAGAGAGTGGGTTGGTGTAATGGTTTCCATTGTGGTTCTCGATCTTATTCATGTTTGACTACACCAGTTTGCTCTACACCATGTAGATATCTACTAGCACCAACATCTACCAGTACATTTTTTTTATATTATTGTTACTTCGCCATGCAAACTCTTAAACAATACCAGTATTACCTAATGAAATAATTTCAAGTTTCAAATGTGTAGATGGCAGAGAAGAATAGCATGACACAAGTTTTATTGTTCTAACAAGATATGTTGATCTGCTAATTAAGGAACTCTTATGTAATTTTTTAGATTAATACCGGAGTGGCTGATATTGTAAAAACACTTGACATGCATCTGAAAAAATGTCAGTCATTTTGAGTAAAGACAGTTGGCGTCCGTTCTTCATGTGAATATCACCATTGGACTGGTTAATGTGTTATTAAGTTCGTAATAAAATCTTTTTCAATCGACATATTTACTTTTTAAAAAAATAATGCAGTTGTCATACATGCTAACATTTTGATAGTAAAAAACGGGGGAATTTGGTCATGGGGTTTGGAGAGGTGTTACCATTACACGTGTAACCCCTCCCCTTGGAGGCTTTAGCTATTATGTATTATAAGGGCAAATCTCATGATTCTTATGATATGTATTCCAATAATAAAAGTACGGTATTGATTTTAAATAACTTGTGTGTTTAATTGAACCACATTTTGTCTTGTGTCTACACAAGACAAAATATGCCTACAGGCTATGTCTATATGGATTAATTTCTCATTTTCTAACACTTTTTCAGTACAAGATACAAAATCTGGATTCAATACTTGTCTAAAAGTGCGTTTTCTATAATTACTGGACTGGTATTTTAGCAACTGCAACTTCATGTCCAATTATTCAACATAAGGTCTGGTCCGTTTTCCGTAGTGTGTTATTAAAAAAAGACTACAATTAACGTATAATGCAATTTTTTGTACACTGGAAGAGTGTGGTTATTATTACTGTGAAAATGGCAGCCATTTTGAAATTCAATATGACTGCCATGTATGATTCGTAAGAATCTCACCATTGGACAGGTTGACATCGAAAATATAGGGTTTGCTGCCAAAATCAGTTGATACCTGCTCTAATAGCAAACTATTGTTATTTTTACTGTAAAAACGGCAGCCATTTTAAAATTCAAGATAACCGCCATTTATGATCAGTGAGAATATCACCATTGGAGAGGTTGACATTGAAAATATAGTGTTTGCTGCCAAAATGATGTTGATATTTACTCTAATGGCACAGTTATTGTTATTTTTTATGTGAAAATGGCGGCCATTTTGAAATTCCAAAATGGCCGCCAAGACAATCTTGAAAAAAATTAACCCTTGCATTTTTGGATTCAGCATACCCAAAATATCCAGAAAATGCAATAAAATTGCTTTGGGCAAGCCTATCTCGCGAAATGACACTAGGGTCCACACTATATATGGGTTTATTTATTAAAATATATATATGTTGTTCTAGTAAATGATTTTGTGTACAAAACACAAGGTATATAATTTGGTTTTGGTCTTGAAGGAGATCCAACAACCAATGTCGAGGCAGCGTCGTTTTTCACTAGAAAACACACTATCTGATTCGATATAACAGCAGCATTTGTTTCGACCTAGTGCCTCAAGCCTGGCTGCGACAGAAAAAGACGCTGCCCCTAGTCAGGAAGTAAAAACCTCTTTTTATATAAAAAAAAAAAAAGAATAAGATCATGGTTCATTTGTAATCGCTTCTCTTTCTTTTTCTTTCCTTTTTTAGTACAGAAATATTTAACTTTTAACATTTAAACTAATCACAATTTAGACAATTTGACAATTTAGACTTTTGGGTAATGTAATTGAAAGGTAATGTAATTAAATGTAATGTAATTGAAAGGTATCGGATGCTTGAAAATATTGTAGCGTTGATGCTTGTTTGATTGGTACTGGTAATATGTTCCATTACTTTTATATTCATGATGCATAAGCAATAAATAGAGAAAAACGCATCCTTAAGAATTTAGATCTACATAAAATAAGAAAAATATCAATAATTTTTAGCCTTCAAATGTTTGCTTTGAGCTACGATTCAATATTATATTAATATTTATTTCATCTTCTACAATAAAAAATGTGTGAGTAGAGCTAAGTATTATCCATATTTATTAATATCTATTATTGCAGTTTTTAACTACATTTCTTACCTTCGCTCCCGTTTCATTGTTTGTCCTTTTTGTAGCCTTTAAAATAAATAATAAATGACTTTTATTCGAAAATATGTGTTTAAACTCATTCAGATCAAAATGTTATTAATATTAATATATTGTTTAGTTTTATAATCTGTTTATATATTAAATTACCCCCTGATTCCCAACCTTTTTTATATTGGAGTCTGTTTTAGGTAGCTGAAAAGCTAGAGGGCTGTAATACAAGTTACAATAGCGCACTGTCTTTCGGATGAGACGTTAAGCTGTTGGTCCCGTGCACATTTATGGCCTATGTGCACTTTAAAGAACGCAGTACACTCTTTAAAAAAAGTAGGGGATTGTCTTCCGGTGTACTGCCCAATCACCACTAGAAGGACCCCCACTGGAAATAAGTATTCTTCTAGACTTTTGTGGGCTATCCTTGGTGTTTACACCGAATAAATTCAATTCCAAAACCAGATAGGCACCTAAGGCAATTCTCAATCTTTATATTTTAGAGAATTTAGTGTTAAAACACCTTTTACCTCTATAAAGATATAGGAGCAAGAATCTACCCCTTATGGGAGTTAATTGTGCTATCATCATTATTCATTGCGTATTATCTTTATTTGTGCAATACCTTCATAAAAGTACTGTACATTCGGAAAAATTGTTATGTTCTATGTTCAACTGTTATGTGTTTAACTGGAGTATTTTAAATATTTTTAATATATTTAATATTAGTACTTTTAATTATTATGTACATTTCAAAGTTTTCTAAGTTTGCAATAAAGTTTATTTGAATCTTTGAATATTTCTATTGCTTACCTTTAAAGATTTAGATCTCGTTTTCCAGAGAATAATACAAATAGATAATGTCGATACGATCCCAATGGCGATACCCAGTAAAATTCCAACAAGCAAACCACTACCTGAGCATGGGAAATATTATTTTTAATTTATTAAAATATATATATATATATATATATATATATATATATATATTTATATTTTAATTGTCTCATTAAAATTTGAAATATGTTGTGATTTTATTCAGATTTATGGAGAACAACTGGCGGTAAAATTAGAGTGTGAGACAAATCGTGCAGAGTGGTATTTTGCACATATTGAACTTATAGAAAAGTTTGACATAAACAATATTACAACTTCATGTTTAAAATTAATGTTTGTAGATTTGAATGTGTAATGATGAAAACGTTCATTGAGCAGTCAATTAACAAAGGGGTCAATACACCACTAGGAGAATGACATGATTTCCACATTTTAACATTTCGAATGATTTGTAAACTTTTGGGACACTATTGAAGATCGTTTTTGTTATATGCATTATATTTGTTGCTAACTGTATCTGGGGGAAATATTCACTTGATAATTTTAAGTTTGTTAAAATTAAAACTCGTCATCTTGAAAAACTTACATTCGTTCATTCCTTTGCTAGAACCAATGCCTCTAAATATTCTGTTTTTAATCATTTTCCACGAAAATGGGACAGTCTACCCAATAATAGAAATATCCCATTGAATAACCTATTCCGTGGAAGTTATTTTACTAATAATAATAATATTATTATTAATAATAATAATAATACATGATTTTAATTATTATATTTATTGTATCAGTTTTTGTAAGGTAAACCACTTAATAGTAGATTCAGTTCTCTTTTTGGTTTTCCTCCCTCTTTAAATGTTTTTATGAACTAATTTGTGTCTGATTTGTTGTAAGGCCTCTTGTTTTAAGGCCTCGATAAAAAGCTAAAAAGCAATAGAAAATAAAATAAAAAGTTTTCACAATAACAAAATTTCACAAATCATATCAAATGACATCAAAATCGTTTTTACTAATACAATTTGATCGTTTTCTCATGATGATGACGTCATTTGATTTGTGAAAATTGCTGTTATCTTATACACGATAAATCGTTATCGAATCGTGCTAGTGTGAAAACTTCTCTTATTTTCTTTATGAACAATTGCTTTTTAGCTTTTTATTGTTGATCGTTATCGTCATAGTGTAAACAGGCCTTTACTGTTTTAATGTATTGTTTATTGTATATTGTTTTTGTTCAGAAAGAAATAAATAAAATGAATAACAATTTGCTGTCACATACACTGAAATCCACGCCTGCATTTTGGATTCCGCTTCATAAACAATGAACGAGATGAAGTTAAAATAACTGCTAATGGGGTAATATTTACAAAAACAGCTGTGTCATCTGCTTTTACCCATGTTTTAGAGATAGCCACAACATCCAACTTTTGTTTGAATGCAAAGTTTACAAATTACGTTGTTTTATTTGTTTTTGATTTTCTTAACAGCTAGTCATTAATACAATGTATATAAAATCCTTACGAATTAAACAAAAATATACCATTAATTGTCACTAATGTGGTCGGTGGTGCTGTTATTGTAGGTTCTGTATAAATATAAAAAATGTAAATTACTGGCTAGTTTAAATCTTTAAAAATTAACATTTATTATATTTAAAAGTTACTTATTAATTACAAAATTTAAAAATTTTAAACTTTGTTGGACAATTAAGTTTAACTTAATATCAGTTAATGACAGGTAATAGAAGTAGTTATATCGAGCAATTTAATTTCTATGTATGTGGATTACATGAAGAGTTTTTCCAATGTCTATGTTATCTCCGCTGCTGTCGACGTTTCAGTTGTTGTGTCATATAATAATTATAAACAAATTTTCAGATGTACGTAATAAAGATAAGAACATACCCTCAGTTGTCACTAATGCGGTCGTTGGTGCTGTTGTTTTTTTTTCCAAACAAACCCAACGGCAAATTGTTACAACTTCTCTCGGTAGCTCTGTTGTTGTAGTTACTGTGAGTAATAGAAAGAAATATAATAAAACATAAATTATATTTACTTAATTAACTGTTAATAGTTTAATAAAAGAAGAAAATTGGGACCAAGACTAACAGAAACTTGTTATTAAACCTGGACACCGAGAGGTTTGTTTGCACACAGCCCTAATATATGATCTAAATGTAAGATTTAATACTGCAACTTGGCTTCATGATTGGTGAACGAAAAAAAAAAATGTATAGTTAGGCACAGAGCAGTCGAACCAGAAAACATGTAAAAATAGGCCCACACCAAGCCAACACATGTCTGTCACAGTCTGAGAGTGCCATTTCCGGCCATCGAAAGGTTGCTATTCTTTTAAAAATCTCATTTGGGAGTGAGAACCCACCTCTCAACCCCTTCCCCCAGCTCGAGCCTACGAGCTCAAGTCCCCCTGTCGGACAACTTAGCCCTCAGAAAATATATCCTACAGCCGCCACTGTTTAGATGCTATCCATTGGTAAAATGCACAAATTGGTAAAATTATTAATGTTTATCTGCAATTTACCATTTCTAATGATGAAAATACGATGTGGAAATTCATGAACATAAATCAACAATAACAATGTTTTTAAATATTACTCTAGACAACAACACTGAGAATAGACCTCAGAGGTAACCAGTTGGGGTAGGGGCGTTAGGGGAGGGGGACTAGGAGCCCCCTCTTTGCCACTTTTCGTCCTTCCCCCGTCAGGGACGTTCGCAGAGATTCGTCAGGGGATAACAAAATATTTTAAAACGTTTATATCAAATGTTCATCTGAATTTGATAGGCCTATATAAATTAATCGTTTGGACACCGATGAGATACAAAAAACATCATCCTTAGGTCGAGTTGCCCTGTATAAACATCTAGCAGCTTATTATTTGTAAACATGTCTTGATTTCCCCAAACCTTACTCCCATCTTAGTAAAGTAAAGTAGAGTAAATAGTAGTGCGTTCTAAGCTGTCAACAAATTCAGCCATACTACTAGGACTAATTTTTTTATACTAATTCTTCATTGGTCCTAATTGGAAATTGGAGATTTGAGCTAGGCCCATGGGTATCCGCGGCAGCCTCAATGAAGCGTAACCCGGCTTAACTACAACACAGTAGACAAATACATTGTCCTTAACTCGCCTAACTCTGAAGGTACGAGGGTTATTCGAGGAGCCAAGCAATCAGACTCCTATTAAATTGAACCGGGTCGTCTCCAGCACAAATATGCTCATAAAAAATTTGCCAAAAAAAAAAAAAAAAAAAAAAAAAAAAAAAAACATTTTTCTTACTTTCCTTTCGGCCAAAAGACTTTTCGGTAAAATGTCAGTTTGCCTAACGGTTTTTGGCCAATCATCAGGGGACTGTTAATTTAATATTATTATTTTGTATATTTTTGTATATAACTATGTAATTAAGTTCCGTCAAGTGTTTGTTCTTTATGTACATTATTTTTGTAATTTGTATTTTTATCTTATAATAATAATAATAATAATAATAATAAAGTAATTTTACTAATAATAA